ATAATTATATCTGATTTCTATTTACAATTAACTGTTAACTAAAGAAAGTAAAATAGATTAAATTTATCATGTGTATTATATACATATTTGAATATGAAACATCTGTAAAATACACAGTAATACAAAAAAGAATGTCATAAAAAAATTCACATTATTTCATGATTTTTAGTCACATGTGGCGCAAACTTTGGATAAGCTTTTTAAGAGCACGGGATGTGAAGAAAATCCTGAAGAAAATGATATTATAAAACTGAGAAGGGTAAAAGTTGCAAAATGGGCATGTCTTCTTGGTAATTTGGAATGCAAAAAAATGGCAACCGTCAAATTAAGTAATCATCTTGCAGATCCTGAAACTAATAAGTAATTATTGTTACAATTTTGATTAATAAGATGATAACAAGAGAACAACTTATTGTCAAGATTATTGAAAATAATTGATCTTGAAAAGTTTATTTCTTTACAATATCATAATTATTTCACAGTTTTTTTTAAGATTTTTATCTGATATTTATTTAAGTATTTACTTATCATATATTATATTGCTAATTTTATATACACCTGTATATTATATATACATTACTGACATAAACAATATGTTGATGTATAAATAAAAAATAAATAAAAAATAGCAGATAAATAAAAAAGAAGAGAGAGAGAGAGAGAAGAAAAAATAATACAAAAAATAAATAATATAAAAATTTAGATTTTTAATTGTTATATTTTAGAATTCCATCTTGGTGGCAAAGATGGACATATTGTTCTGGTTCAATGATAGCTGATAAGGCCACTTGGAACAGATTATTGAATTTATATATGCAGAAACGTAATAAAGATCTTTTAGAATTTCTGGCTTGTTCTGAAAATTCTGATATTATTATTGACTATTTAAATATTATATCCTCGGAGAATTCAACACTACAAGATAAAGAGCATAATCTTGCCTTTCAATTTATTGTTATCAAACATTCATGTAATAATGCAGTGCTTGATTACATATTAGAGAATTTTGAGAGAGTCAAACCCAAGTAATGGCATTTCTTTTATAAATATAATTATTTATAATTTCAAATATTTATTATATATACTAAACATGAATATATCTTTTGTTTTTGTAGATTAATGAACAGACATACAGTATTAAAAAATATTATTTCCAATATTTATACTACAGAGCAACTTGACAAGGTAAATTTTATAATAACAAGTTTCTTATTGATTTTTCATCTTGTCATACATAAAGAATGTATATTTATTATAGTTAGCTGAAATTACTTTTACATTATAATCTACATTAATATAAATTTTAGTAAAAATAAAATATTAAATTAATTGTTTTAGGTAAAGGAATATTGGAAAAATAATCTCAAGGAAATATCAAATATTCCAAATGCAATTCAAGCTAGCATAGATTCACGTATAAATAATTTGAAGAACTTGTTAAACGATTTTTCAGCGCGATTCAAAAACATGAAAAAATAAATTTAAGCGAAGCAATAATTTATACCACTTAAAAATAACAATTGTATAACATGTCGTATAATCATATGTTTATCTTTATTTTTAATATATTTTTATATTACTTTCACTTATTATCACATTATTTCTTAAGAATTTTTAGTTATTTTTAATTTTTCTTTTTAATTTGTAAACATTTTTAAATATCTTTATAATTTACTTTAATAATGCATGTAAATTCTAAGAATGTTCGAAAAATTGCAATTTCAGAAAAATGTACATGCGTTATCAAAGAATTTGTATAAATAATCATGACTATGGCGAATTATTATGACGTGTTATTTGCTTCTTGTGATTAACAGTAAAATTATTCTATGTTATATTTCTATGTTATTTTCTTTGTGTTCTTGTTTCTTTTTTTCAGATATTGTTATATCTGACATTGATTAATAACTTTACAATATTTGAATACATATATCACACTATGCTGTATTTCAAATTTAGCGTATTTTATTGTATTTTTATATGAAACATTTCTGAAATAAAAGGCGCTTAAAATAAAAGGAAAAAAAAACTTGATTTACACGGAATATACATATATATTTTTTTATTAATTTTATTCAGTACACTTTTGAACTTCTATTAAATTTCTTTAATTATTTCTATTAATTATCTTCAATTATTATCGAAGATATAAAAAAATTATAAATTATTATAATTATATAATTATATATTTTAAGTTTTTAAATTTGGATAAAATTTTTATTAAAATAAAATCTATCTAAAATTGATATAATTTTATTACTTAGTTATTTTTATTATTATTTGTTGAATATTATATTTCTGTTTCTCTGAAGAAATTTAAAAAATATTATAATATTGTAAGAGAGATAAAATAGAATCTTTTAAACAGCATGTTGTATGGAAAGTTTAATTTTCAAAAATTTTATAATTTTCATTTTTAGTTATCTATAAATTTATAAATTATAAATGCTTTATTATCTATTATTGGTAACAAAATTGATCTAATATTTACAATTTAAAATATGCTTCGATAACGAACGTCTTTCATATTGACCTCACAATATATTTACGTGATATCATTGTGTTTATGTCAAATGTTAGTCAGTATTCGGTGATCTTTAGAGATGGTAAGACGATAATTCTAATCACATTATTCTAATATTAACGAGTTGTGTAATCAACAAAGATTAATTGGTATTGTATTAATAATAACATTTTAATCAACTCTCTCTCTCTCTCT